GCTTTGTATCTTTCGAAGTGTATAATAACCGATCGTTATATTATGTTCGTATATAAGACTATTGACTTGTGAAATCACTTTAGAACTTTCATCTGCATAGAGTCAGTCTGTTTACTTTCCAAAATAACTCAGTTCTAAAGACAGTTTTCATGCTAATTCAGTATGTAATGTAGCTTAGAAATCTACACCTACAAGCAAGCTGTCTTCACGAAACAAAATTCAATGTAGTACGAACATAATTGTGAACTAAGACTAAAATGAAAGTTGACGGACCAAGGATTAAGTCTGTTTAGAAGAGATGTGATTGAAAGTATTAAAGACACTTCATTACAATATTTATGACATTTCTGTGTTTATCCCAAATGATCTCCGATTAAGACGGAGAAAAGAACATGAAGAAATTCAGAGTCTTAGAATTATTTGATATTTGCTCATACTTAACTCAAATAAAATCACGTTGCAGTTCAAATTGAATTATCTTTAAATTGCTTATCAACTGTGATCAGTTGACTATACATGACATACTACATTACATGACATTGAACAAACATCTGGCAGTTAAAATGAATCATACTAGTTTCATCAATTTCCTTTAAAGATAACAAGATAATTCACTTTAAACTCATGTACGAATCATAAAATATTTCATCTAGCTGTCTAGTGGTATGGATTACCAGCTCTTTAAATACAATTATATCATTAATATCTTCTTTGTTTTTATACCTATTGTTGACCTTTAAATTATGGTAATTGATTCTTAGCCATGACAACAAACAACACATTAAGTTTCATTCGTGAAAGTTTGACTTTCAATTAAACAACTGCTCACTAATCACTTTTGTGTCACAGTATTAACAAAATCTTTTGTTTTATACTCAATATTCATCTTATCGGACGATGGGTTACAGAAAGGCTGTGTATCAGTTAATGCTGGATCATTATATAAGACCAACTAACGGCATAGCTTAAAGAATTCTGGTTAATCTAGTAAGCTTTTTGACTGATCTTGTTGCGTAATAAGTTCAAATAATAATGAAATTTGAAATGTCTCAGATGAGCTTTTTTCGGGAATTAATACATTACAGGAATACTGAATAACTGAAAAGTCCAGTGAAAAAACGTCAATAAATGTGTTACACAAACATAAGTAATGGATAGCAATAAGAACTACAAATTTACCGCTTAGTCATTTTAGTGATTCACATAAGGTTAAATTTACACAGTCGTGTTGTATCAATCTGCTACAGACCGCTACAATGTATAATTTATTAAGAAATAATTAATGACTTCACATTTTCTTTTCCTATTTAAAATAACTGATTAATTCAATCCCAATCTCTAAACTATCCAAAGATGTTGTCTACTTAAGATAATGGATGAAGGTTTACGAAAGATCACGAATAATAATACCACTGGGTTACGGCTCAGTGATCTAGAGATTAGGAGTTCACTCACAAGACCAAAGGTCTTGGGTTGAAGTTATGCGTGTGGGATCGTGGATATGCACTGCTAAACAGTTCCATACTAGGACAAAACCGCCGTCAAATGCTTCCAGGTTTTCAATAATGGTCTAGCTTAGATCGACTCATGAATTCAGCTATTTAAATCACTACAATCTCCGCATATAAGTTTCAAAACCCTTTTATATTTCTTTATACGAACTTTTTTTTCAGAATATTGAAATATGTTTACTGTTTCGATAATTCTTAAAATTCACTCCATAAGTAACACAGGAAATAGGAAAATCGTACCACCTAATCGCTTATATATAATAAACACAATTTTACATACACCAAAGTTTTGTTGTCTTATATATTCGAGTACATAGGTGAAAAAATCAATTTGTTTTGTTCACCCTTATCAAAGAATCAGTATTGATTCTTCAAAACTAACACCATTTCAAATGGATAATTGATTGGAGGCTTCGCATTCTTGTCAATATATTTATCTAATATACTATTGAATCTACATCATACTTATCAATTCATCTATCTACTGTCATATGAAATGACAATATTTTCCATTGGCTATATAACTAAAAAATAATAATAACACGTAAATAGGAAAAACAATTTACGTGTAACAACTATCAGTCAATACATTTCTGATCTGTAAAAATGGCTAATAATTCGGTTTATCGTTAAAAATCTTTTGTGTACGTAAACAAAACATGCGTATATAAACGTTCATGAGAATCTGCAAAGTTTAAATCAATAAAAAAGTAAACATTGAATAAGATTAGAGTAAACAAGGTATTTTTAAGGAAAGAGAATATTCAGATAAGGAGAAAGAGCCAACAAAATTTCTTTGCTCATTTTATTTTCCTATATGATCTGTGACTTCATCCCCTTCCATAGGTTATTTGCATTGGTTTGATTTGTTTTGTCGTTTTCTTTTAAATTCATTTATCTTTATAATAATTAAACGCATGTGTGGACATTCTTGCAATATTTTGTAGATTTTATCGCATATGTACTCAAATGGAATTTAAATGAAAGATTTACTTTATAGTTTACATCATGAACTGTCCATAGTTAGTTTGTAGTTGATGCTACTCACAAGAATGTTTGTAAGCAGTGTGCAGCCGAACGTGGCGTTGAATTTGCAACAATTGTGAAAACTTTTGACGTATCGAAATTATGGCCAAAAGAGAAAATTGTTCAGACTATAGAACATACCAAAAGATACAAATGGGTGATTGAAAGCCTATTTGTAGTATGTGAATACTTTGTGACTTCTAAAAATGAACACACATTTTTCCTGCTTATTGTCCTGTTTTACAACTCAACCACATCAGGTTCTGATAGCATTGGAAGGTTGTTGCTCGATATTTCAAAATGTAAACCATTGAATACCGACTCATTGGTCTACGTGTTTGGCACTCGACAAGATACCTGAAAATCCTACTTTTGATCATTGCAGTAATAAATGCACTCACTTGTGATGTTCCATAGTAAAAGGAAATACGTGTTTTGACGCTGCTCGATTTTTAATGGTTACGTGACTAAGAACATTCGGTACGGCAAACTATAAAATTCAATAATCTCTGCAAACTTTTAAAAGAAAAATAATAAATTTGTAGTAGGAGGGATAGAAATTTGTTTTGGAAGTTCTATCATAAAAACATAAAGATGAGTTCCAACCTAAAAAAACACTGCAGAAGATGGAAAAACTTCACAAGAATGTTTCTTAACAGTTTCTCCAAACATTGATTCTACGAAGTAAACATTTTGTGTGAATAAGGAATAAATAAAATTCATCTGTCTGTTGTTAACTTTAACTAAAACCAACCTTCTATACTTTTTACATTAAGTTGAAGATGAAGTATATATATACTTTTCTATGTGTGGTGTGTTAGCGAATTTCGAGTCCCACGTGAGCGATCGTGAATGCGCACCTCTGAGGAGTCCCATACTAAGATTAAATGGCCGTACAATGCTTCCAGGTTTTCAATGGTAGTCTAAATTAGATTAACTCATGAACTGAACTGTTAAAATCTCGTAAGTTAATTTAAGGAGATTTGCATTGGGCTAACATTTCGTGCACTTTTATTATGTTAATTAATTTAATATGAATAACGTACCTTGTCTTTCGGTGTATTTTCACTTGCCTCCTTTAATTGATTTTGCTTTCAAGTAACAGTTGCTTAATTTAATGCTTTTCTGTAATGAATTCATGCTGAATTCAATAACTTTACAATTGAACTAACTTAAATGTAAATTAATCCTCTTTTGGTCTTTCTCAAATACATTTTCTTCTCACAAGTTTTTGAATTATTAACACTGAAGTATTGTGGTCTCTTAGTCATTTTATCTATTTAGTTTCCATATATTTAACTTCGTATTAGAAAAATCTTTAAATCATTCATAATTTGTAACTTACAGTACTCAATCTCATTACATAACAGTAATCTATATCTTTGTATTCATTTTTCATTTATTATTATGTCTGGTTATCTTTAAAACAATGAAACAGTAACAATCATGTAAAATAACACATAATAAATGAATCAATCACGCAAAACATTATTTCTCACGAACTTACTTCTGTCTACCTATGCAATAATTATACATTTATTATTATTTTTAAGATTGGTTCACTTATATAAAAATGAAATGGGGGGGAGGGGGTAATAGATTCATATAAAATATAATATCTAGTATATGAAATAACGTAGAATAATGCTATTGTATAATAATATAACAGTATTATTTCGATAGATACATAGTTACTGTGACGTAATATGAGTCAAAGTGTTTCTTTTTCTCACAAAAAAAGGTTTTTATGTAGCTTTTTTTCCCTATAGATTATCGTTTGGAATGTTTAATAACCCTCACGTATTACAACGAAATGAATATTTGAATAATTAAGATATATGCATAATATACTTCATGATGATTTTTACGCTGTTGCAAAAGATTTTAAACCACATAGATACTGTTTAGACTCTCGTAGACTCATTTAGAAGATATATATAGTAAACTGAACTACATAGACTGTTCTTGAGCTATTCTTTCAATGACCTAGGTAATTGTTTCACCATATTCAACTTTTCAGAATACTGCAAATAATAATGAATGATTCAATGTTCTAAAATTGGGTTCAACTTCAGGGTTAGTATTCAGAGTTAATATTATGGCCAAGAATTAGAATTTAGAGTTTTGAACTAAGGGTTAGGATTAAGATGTAGAACTTAGGGTTATAGTTATGAATATGGTAGTGATTTAGGCCCCCGTCCGAAATTTAGTGCGAGAGTCTGACAGTCTATTTTACTGTCAGTTTATATGCACCTCAATCCCAAATCTTTAACCTTAAAATTAAGAATCTAATAATAGTTAAGTTATTAAAACTAAACATCCGCGGTACATAGACAACATTCTGGTTATGTATATGAGTCGTTACTCTAAAGCTATGTACATTTTCACCATTGGCTCACCTTCATAGTTAAGCATAATTAACATGCATGGTTAGTAATACATAATCAACTATTAAATCATATAATGCGTTTAGATCGTACTTTATCATTCAAAACTACTTGGTTTACGAAAGGTAACTATGATACAAGATGGTAACAAACCAGTGACCATATCTGAAACATCAAAGAATAACAGTTTTAATAGCAAAGGAAAAACATTGTAACACTGAAAAAAAGCCCAGTTCAATTCATTTAAAAAAACACTTCTTTTCGTATGTATCATTAACTGAAACATTCTTTTAGAAATCATCTGATTTATCAACAATCAATCTTTTACCATTACATTTCCTTGTTGACTTAAAGCACTTACATGAGATGATTTTGTTTGGGGAATACGCTGGAAAAATGAGGAGACTGTCGAACGCCTAAAGCAATAATCTTAGCATGTTTGAAACGCGTTTTTCTGAATAAATTATGCAATGTGCAGTCTCAGAACTGGTCTGTTTAGCATATAAACTAAGGATGTCAAGAGAAGTAGTTAAGAGTATCATTCCCTCATTAGACAGGGTGAGTTAGTGTATCACGAGATCTCGGCACAAATTTAGAAAACCTGGTTGACTTTTGTCAGATCTCATTACCTGTGGTATAAGCTAGCTATCTGTCTACGAACTGAAGGGCGGGTATACTGTACAGCAGTTCCCTTCATCTCACTCCATGAGTGCGAAACGTGACCTTTAAAAACAGAGAATATTCGTAGGTTAGTATTATTCAATTATAGGTTTCTTCAAAGCATTTATCGTTTGTTTTGGAACAATCTAGATGCAATTCTGAAGTTAAGTGCAAGGTATCGCTATATGTTTAACCACAGACTATCTCAAAGTACGGCAATAGTTGATGTAGGAATTAGTAAGACTTGGATTGACATGGTTCCTAATCGTTCGCAGTGGCACAAACACATTCACTCCCTCTTCACTCATAAATATTAATTTCCTGAGTTCCTGATAGATTTTTTAATGTTTCAATAATTTATCTTTTCTTTGTTATTACCATTTAACCTGTTACTACCTCTACTGTTCAAAGATTTCTCCTGACAATTTTATCTCATTGTACTAATAGTGCATGATAGTTTGAGCCTGCATACTGATATTTTAGGTTTTACATTGTGTCCAACTCAATGAATAACTAACTGATTCACAACAATATTTCAGCCTCATTTGTTAATATGCTCAATGAATATGATCACGAAGAAATAGTTAGTGTGATCTTTGAAAAGAAAATTTTCTTGTCTGAATTGTTTTTATTTTATAATTTTTATTCATTAATCCTTTCATAAAAGAAACATACTGAGATTAGTAACAAAAAATATTAAAAGTGAATAAATCACATCTTCCATTAGGAAAAAATCTATCGGTGTATACAGTGAATTCTTTAAATAGACAGTAAATGGTATATACAAATCAAATATCCATAGCCTTAAAAAAAACGTTAAAACAGTAGACATAAATATAGCATAATTCATAAGAGAAAGCTACATGATATAAAGTGATTTGAACTCTTTCAAATCAATCGTTTCATGATCTCGATCAAAAGCCTAACAATCTCCACAAGCCCTAAACTGATAATTAAGTCTTAATTTGTTTGGCCAATAACATTCAAAAAATACAGTATTATCAAATGATCTTTATTGTCATTGATAAAATATTCAAAAAATGGATAGTTTCATTGTTTCCTAATATGGTCGATATTATTAATTCAGTCAACAAGGTTATGGTTCATAAAATATGGTCACTTTCATAAATAACCATCAATGTCTCTTATACATAAGATATAACAAACAAAAAGATTTTAATAATCTAACCAACTTTATAGAATTCAGTTCAGAATGTTTATTATTATTATCTAGATGATAGTTTCGTCAAGTTTTCAGAAGTTTTTCTTTTTTTTTGGTCTTATTATTATTTTAAAAAAGCCCATCATTTCTGCATACTTAATCAATGAATAAGCAATGAAGTGAATTAACCTTTATAATAACACGTTTGTCTACGCATGAAAACACTTGTCGTTCATAAATGCATTATAGCATAAATGAAATTAGATTGTAAATTGAATGTTCATATTATTCAAACAAAATATTGAAAGAGAAATAACAACAACAACAAAAATGAAGTTCTATATTTTTTTGCTCACATTTATCCCCATATAATTATGTCATTAAAATGAGGAGAACGAAACTTTCAAAATATTCCATTGTGAAATGTGTCGTTCTATTTTTATTTTTTTTTGGAAGAATCAAATGTAGTAGTTATCAAAGATGTCAATATTGCAGTAAAAGTTGAAATGAAATATGTACATCAGAGAAATAGGCGCTAATATAGTTTAATTTTATTTGACATAGAATAATGATATGTATTTTGTTTTTTTTTAGATGTCTGATCTAATTACAGAAGGTTATATCTTTTGTAAATCAATAGGGAAGACTATCAATTTCAAGTCTACTTGTATCTAAGGAAATTTAGAATTCTAGTTAATTTATACATTCATGTACATGTAAAACAATATATGTTATTGTTTTTCAACCTTATTAGTATTATACGAGACAATGCAGTGAAGTTAAATCAAATTGGTTATAAGATAGGTATCATCTATGATAATGGATGATGGTTGGTTTTAATATTACGAAATGCCTAGAGTTGAAACAGTGAACCATCACATTCAAATATAATGATTAAAAAGGTAGCAAGCACTCCGAGTGACATTATAGTATTTTTGTCCTATCCTTAAGCGAGCTGTGATCGCTCATTACTGAAGAGTTATAAATAAAAACTAAATATATGTACAATGTTTCCTTTTTTGATAGTTTAAGAGTTAGATTCAGTTACTGATCCAAATTATAAACTAATTAATTTATATAAACCTCCTTCATTGTGGACTATTCTTGTGGAAATGAGTTTTCCTCATCGCACATTCAAGTGTATCCTTTTTAATTTTTCATTGATTATCTAGGTCCAGCAAAAATTATCCACTCTCCACTTGATACAAAGGCAATAGCCGGAGAATCAGTCCTATTTTTCTGTCAAGCTGAAGGTAATCCTCTTCCTAGAGTTGTCTTCCGATGGAATGATAATGAAATCACTCAAAATCGACCAGGTTTACAATTTAAAGAATTATCCGCAGATAGTGTTGCCCTACGTGCTAAATTAGAACCAAATCACAACGGTGATACCGTCACGTGTTTTGCACAAAATCATGTTGGATCCGATTCAGCTACGGCACAAATTTCTGTATACAATGCTAATGAAAGTGAGTTGTACAACCATTTCTCCTTCTCTTAACCGTTTTATAAATGCTACACTTTATTACATAGTTTTTATGGTTAGTAATGAAGTTAGTTTCTATTGCGGTTACAGTTCAAGGCATAGGGATCACTTACATGTCATTATTACATATTTATATCAGTGTATTGTTCTTACATCGTTATGTACAGTATTATTTCATATTAAGTTATCTTAACTACTTGCTTACAACTATTGTCCATCTTGAGGCATAGGCTGCCACACAGACATGTTTGAGTTATTTAGCTGTAAATATTTAGAACTGAATTTTAATCATAATCTGCCGATATATGTGCATTCTGATCAAAATTTAGTCGTAAACATCAGCAATCGACTCAAACTCATATAAAAATCGCATTTGTCGAACCAGATAGCGATTACCTGAACTCACTAGCTCAGTAGACAGTACATTGGGTAAGTGAATTTAAACGTGTTGCTTTTGGTTTGCGATATGAACATCAACACTCGAACTCAGAATTATCTGGCCAATTAGTCCCGAACGGTAAAAAACTAGCCTCCTGATTTACAGTGCTAACTAAAACTTATTTATTCTTAATAGAGAAAATATTTTTATAGTAGCTATTCAAATATATAAAGTCCTTTTACAGATTGTAAATCCGGAAATTCGATAATCTCTCTAGTGTTAGCATATTAAGCCCATTTCCGAATATGCTTTTAAATGTCCGAGATCAGAGTTCAGTACAAAGGAGCAGTAAAGTTTTATGACAACTAGATCATCATGCACGTTGTCCATGTCTACGGGCTCTCAATGACCTCAGCTTTGAAAAAATAACAACCAGCATGATTAACTCCATGATAAAAATTCTCTATGTTGCTTCTAGTCAAACAAACAGATTTGTCGAGGCTCCCCTCTACAGCTTTGCATTTAAAAGACTGATTGCTTCACTGATTAAAGCTCCACTTCATATATTCTGTACTAGACAAATGTTTCAAGTGTTATTTTCAAACCCAGTTAAGTCAGTATTTATTTCTATTGGTGCTATGCTTGAAGAGACTACGAATTCACCCAATCTGAGAACGAAACAAAGACTCTGTGGTACGATGATAGATAAGCTAGCGATTCCGACACGTCCGAGCTCCGCTAACTAGAGAGAGAAGTCCAAGTTCGGGAAAGGGAAATATATTCCACAAGCAGTCAGAAGCACGAACAACAACAACATACACAACGCTGACGTATATATACAGAATAAAAATATCCTTGGGAAGCGTTACAAAATAACATACTAAAAGATACAACTAACCAATAGCGTTTAAGATCCTCCTAAGTGCGAAACACAACATGAAGGTAAAAATGAGCGTTTTTGGAGCGAAAACAAAAAATTCAATTTTTTAAAATAGAATTTACCATGTGAGTTCTGAGAATATAACATCCCCAACAATTGGCTTTGATTGACATATTCAGTATGCAGTCCGAAATGAGCTTATATATATCTAACGAACTAAAATCCAAGTCACAGTTTGATAGAATTGTACAAATTAACCGATAACACAGGTAATTCAAAGAAATCTTTTTCTACTCTATTCAAAATGTTGATCATCCTTCTGGGATTTCTAATAAAATATTTACGAATACAATCCCTTTTTTCTCCAAAAAAATCAAAGCTCCATTTGTTTACAGCAAAGTAAACAATAATTGATACTCGAGCCAAAATTGGATGTAATTGTGATGATGATGATAATAATAATAATAATAATAATAATAATAATAATAATAATAATAATAATAATAATGATAATACTAATACCGTAAAAGGAAACTGTACTACTGCAGAAAGCCCTTATTAATATTCAGTAATGATTAACTATTCATCTAAAATAATGAATAACATTAAATAATTCATGGAATTTTATTCATATAAATCTATTATAATAAATGAATTATAGATGTGTGTATAAGTTTAAAACTAAGGGTATATAAAGAATGGAAATAAACATTTTAAACGTTCTTATTTATTCATTATACATTCTGTTTAAGATGGATATTCGACCAGGGGAGAAGGAAATATAGTTATAACAGAAAAGTAAAACACAGTATACGTGTTTAATGTCGTCAGTATAATTAAACTAATATGAGTTTTAAGTTACACTTTGTTTGATATTCCACTAATCATAATAATGATAGTGATAGTGAAAAGCATATATGATACCTAAATTGAAGAACATATTGCGTAGTGTGAATATTTGAAAATTTACCGGATATCATATTGTCGTGATGAATTTCCCTATTGGTAAACTTTAACGACAGCTTACCATGCATCAAACACATAACATATTGTTGAATTCTTTAATTCGATCCCAACATGATATGATGCCTCTATATCAATATGGGAATCTGGGGAGATTGTAGTATTCTTAACAGATGAATTCACAAATCGATCTATGTTTCAAGATGAATTTCCTGGAGTTCTGATGAAAAGCCGTGACTAGTAGAGTTTTATTCATGACGGATGTGAGACACTGAAGACCTCGTAAGATGGTCGCACAACGGCGTGGACTGATTAAAGTTAAACATTAACACCGTTAGATGCTGGCTCAGTTGTCAAAAGATTGAGAATTCGTGTGAGACAAAGAGTCCTGGGTTTGAATCCTGAGTACGGGTGTTTGTGGATATGCACTGGTGAGAATTCCCGTACTAAGACGAAACGACCGTCCAGTCCTTCTAGCTTTTCAATTGTGCTCTAGCTAAGATCGACTCATAGATTCAAGTGTTGAAATAAATAACCGTTTAAAACTTTATTTCTATTAATCAAATGTATTTATCAACCCATCTACATACATGATAATCTTCAAGATTTTAATTATTATTCTCATAATCGTTTTGTGAATTTGTCAGATTTGGCTAGAAAAAGAAAGACAATAAAAAAAACATTTTTTTTAAATTTTCATTTAAAAAATATCAGACTTTAACAAACTAAATAATAAACGAATAATTTCTCAAAATTATTTTTTACCTAATCCGTAAAACAAAACATAGTTTCTAAGATAAAATTTCACCCGAAAAAATGCATCATAATATTCTAATTCATTTTTGTAATGCTTATTTGAATCTTGGTATTGATGGTTAGGACTGCAACTGATCAGTCTATTGTTGGGATTTGTACATCCTGTACGGCTTGCCATGATATTGCCTTAAGTAATGAGCTGTGTAATCAGGGATGTATAGTGGCAAGCAGTGGAATCCACAGCTCATGTTTTGTCCTATTTGAGACTCGTCAGCTAAATGTAACTGCATCTCAGAGTTCATGCAGATAACGTGGTGGAGTTCGAAGCAAATGGTACTGGGTTCAAGTCTTTGAAAGAATATCAACTCTGAGATCTAGACGAAAGGCGCCTTCTGGGTTCCGCCACTAGCCACAATCAATCTTTTGCTTATAGTGTTTGATTCTTAATACTAATGAAAACCAATTTATTTCTCCTGTTTTAAATATAAGAAGTGAAGTAGACTTTTTTTACATTTTTAGGTGACATAAGTCACAGAATGACTTTAGTTATGATATTGCTACAAACACACATAATATCCTCAAGACCGTAACTGTGGTCGGTGTCTCAAATATATCATCTATAAAATTAAATCAATCCACACAAAACCCTATTAAATAATCTTGTTTTTTAAGGAGAGTTTTATCTAGTTTATCTGATTATACCACAAAATTTCAATTATATGTTCGGTTTCATAACATATTGAGTAGTTTAACCAGGGACACGGTCACTGAATTAGTTGATGAGAGGTTTTCTTCGAAAAGATAATTTACGTTAAAAAAAGTTAACATGTTGCATTGGCAAGTATTTGTAGTTTACGTTAAATGAATATAGTGATTTTGATTCATAAAATTAAATATATAGTAATGTAGTGAAAATAAAAAGCAATGCAGCGTACTGTAAACAATGATTTTGAGCATCTAACAAGTAACCAATTATTATTGAGATATATAATATGGACACACATTTTGGAATTTACTTACATAACAAAAATTGAATATTACAATGTAAGAAAACATAACATGTTGTTGAAATCTTTAATTCGATTCCCGCATGACATAATCCCTCTATATAAGTAAGGAGATCTGTGGAGATTGTAGTAGTTTTAACAGATGAATTCACGATGAAGCCAGATGAATTCCTGGAGTTCTAATGAGAAGCCGTGACCAGTGGAGTCTTATCCGTGTCAATATAGTTACCCACTGAAGACAATGGAAGATGGTCGCACAATACCAAGGATTGGTCGAAGTTAGATTAGATCGTCATCAGTTGACTACATGATTATTATATGAGTCATATGTGTTTTAATGAAGGCCCTGATGTATTAAAATCGTAATAATAATACAATTTTATTATTTGTAAATATCTAGTTTGTTTCAAAATGTTCACCGAGTTTCTGAGTTTTTTCAGTCTTATGAAAGTCATTTCTGAAAAAATAGATACACTTCAACGACAATTATTATAAAGGTAAGAACGTTAAATGAACACATCGAATAAAGTAGTCAGAAACTAGTTCAACGAAGAGAAAAGTTAAACAAACAAAGAAAAACACGACATTTCCCTGAATAATCAATATTTTGAGATTAGATTTTAATTACACTTTTATTACTAAGATTTTTCAGTGGGATCATAATTTATGGACATTTATGTCGCTAGAGTGACCTTGAGAATGTCCACATGATAACTAAGACCAAATGAGGGTTATAAATTAGTGTGAGGAATTCAAATTATTATTTACAGTCGATGGTTAATGTTAGGATTTATATTTAGTGTTTTCATCACTAAATGACATCAGCTATAATGCCAAGATTCTATTTAGCCAAATGGATGAGTGAGTTTCGCGCCAAAAGTTGATACCTTTTATCTTATACCTGATTGGTTCGTTCATAAATTATAGTCTTGCCGAATTTTCAATGCCCATTGTTAACATTTAACTTAATTGTGTTCCCATTAAAAATAATTTATAGT